CAGCCTAGCAAAGAAGACCCCCCCCCCCAACAGGCCCTCTGGGGCCAAGGAGAGATTCCCTCCAAACCCCAGCGTCTCCCGAGGTGCTGGGCAACCTCAGGCCCCTTTTCCTCCCCACCCCGCGGACTGAGCCTTTCCCAGGACCCAAAGGGCGCCAGGAATGTGGGGCAGAGAGCAGGGAGGCCAGCTGGAGGCCAGGAAGTCAGGACCCCCCCTCCCCATGCTCCTCCCCTCCCCTAAACGTGCCTCCTCTCCTTCCGGCCTCTGGTGCTGGACCTCACCTCACGCCACCCCTGTTCCCTGCCCCTACTGGGGCCTCTGGGCCTCAGTTTCTCCTCTGCAAAATGGGCAAACTTGCCTCTGACCCACTTACCCCATAGGTCCCAGGGGAGTGTGTACTCTGAATGCTCATCGCACGATTAATGTGCATGCGTTGGTAATTAGCATTAAGGGGGGAGAGCTGGGACGCCATTTCTAAGGCTTCTCCCAGCATGCACAGATGTTCCTCATATCTTAGGGTTCCCCTTTTTTTGGTTAATCCTCACCTGAAGATATTTTTCCCAATGATTTTTAGAGAGAGTGGAAGAGAGGGAGAGGAGGAAGAGAGAGAGAGAGAAACATTGATGTGGGATCAAACCTGCAACCCAGGTATGTGCCCTTGACTGAGAATGGAACTTATGACCCTTGGGTGCCTGGGCGGATGCTCTAACCACTGAGCACACTGGCCAAGGCATTAGGATTGTTCATGTTTAAGGAAGAGACTGAAAGGGGAGATTTTCAGATGCGGGGGTCAATGATTGTGACTATGAGACCGTGTGAGGCTGTGGGCTCATGTGTGACCCTGTGTGACTTGTGAGTGTGGGTGAGGCTGTGATGGAGAGAACTGTGTATCTGTACAACCACGGCACTGATGTGACTGTGAGGGTGACCGTGTGATGGTGTGACGCTGGGAGCCTGTGAGAGTGTGTGCTCGGGCGGCTGGGTAATGTGTGTTGTTGGGGTGCCACTGTGGACCCGGCCGGCGGTGATTATGTGAAGTGTGAAATGATGTGTGAGAGTGTTAATGGGCCTGGCTGTGTAACATGGTGAGAGAGCTTCAGATGGTGTCATTAAAGGATTATACGACCATGTGAGGAGCCACATAACTGTGCATTTATTTTTTTTAATATAATTTATTGATTTTTTACAGAGAGGAAGGGAGAGGGATAAAGAGTTAGAAACATTGATGAGAGAGAAACATCGATCAGCTGCCTCCTGCACACCCCCTACCGGGGATGTGCCCGCAACCAAGGTACATGCCCTTGACTGGAATTGAACCTGGGACCTTTCAGTCTGCAGGCCGACGCTCTATCCACTGAGGCAAACCGGCTACGGCGTTATTTTATTTTTTTAATATGTTTTTATTGATTTTAGAGAGAGAGGCAGGAAAAAGAAGGGAGGGATAGAAACACCCATGATGAGAGAGAACCATTGATCGGCTGCCTCCTGCACAGCCCCTCCTGGGGATCGAGCCCGCAACCTGGGCATGTGCCCTGACCGGGAATCGAACCTGTGACCTCCTGGTTCATAGGTCGACGCTCAACCACTGAGCGACTTTGGCCAGGCTGTGTATTTATTTAATCAACAATCATTCGTTGAGCCTCTGTGCTCTGTGCCCAAACCTGTGCTGAGTGATACTGGGGACCCAGAGATGCCTGGCCCTGTTTGCACGGGGGCACACAGGCCGGGGGGCGGGGGAGACAGATGGTGTTTGTGACGTGACCTGGTGAGTGTGTGGGTGTGAGTGTGTGGTTGACACAGTGGCACTGGGACTGTGGGTAGTGGCGGTTGTGTCCCTGTGAATGCGGGTGCTCATGCCCGAGGACGCGTGCCCGTGGGTCCTGTGGGTGACAGTCTGCCTGGGGGTGTGGACCAGGCTCTCCGGGTGTGACCGTAGATCGCACAGCTGAATGAGCACGAGGAACACGCTCTATGAAGAACAGCATGTGACATTGTGTGCTGAGCCCGCGTCTCGGTTAATGGGACTGCGTGCGACACTGCGTGTGACAGCCTGAGTCTGTGGGCGATGGAGGGTGGGACAGTGAGAGACTGCCCTGGGGGGGGGGTGACTGCTCCCTCATGTGACCTGGAGTGCTGCGATGCTCACAGGCCAGGGCCCCTGCTCCCCTGGAGCCCCCCCTTCCTGTTCCCTGGCCCCGCCCCTCCCACCACACAGGCTGTCACCTCTTCCAGAGCTCGGGAGGCAGTGGAGGCAGCAGCAGAGGCAGCAGCAGGACAGGTGAGGGCTCCCCTGCCCCCCTGGCCCCTCAAGTCCGTGGGTCCCTCTCTCTGTGTTTCTGAGCCTTTGTCTCTCTCGGTCTCTGTGGCCACAGTCTCTTACCTCCTCTAACCGGGTGTCTTGTCTTCGTCCCCACGCCTCCCAATCTCTGTCTAACCTCTGAGTAGCTCTGGGCCTCTGTCTCCTCTGCCACCGAGCCCACATTTTGTCGCTTTCTCCGCCCTGTGGTCTCTGGCCTCTTGCTGCGCTTCTCCTGTCAGTCTCCCTTTCTCGCTCTGTGAGTCTGTCTCCTGCATCTCTGACCCGTGTCTGACCCATGTCTGTGGTCTGGTCTGAAGTCCTCCCTGCCTCTCCTGCCCCCATCTGGTGCTGCGTGGAGGGTGTTGAGCGTGAGAGACAGATTTCCAGGCCCGTGGCCCCTGCACACCTCAGCCCGGGGTCTGAGCCGCTCCAGTCCCTCGGGAGAGCATGTCCCATGGACTCCGGGCTTTGTCCTCAGCGGGATAAGTTCCAGACGGCCAGGTTTTTATCCCCGATTTGGATTTGAAGACCCTTTGGGCTCAGGGAGTGGGAACTCCGAGGGCCGTCTGCAGCCCCGTGCCCTCCGCTAACCAGGCGGCCCCCAGGTTCACCCCGGTCTCCACGTCC